TACGTAAGTTTTTCGACGGGCTCGTAACCTTACGTAAGATTACGAAGCGTAGGGTTTACGTAATACTTCGCATTATTTAATTTACTGATGTAAATAGATAATTTAGATAATTTAATAACTCTATCAAAATTATCAAATAAACCCATCATTGATAATGATAGATTTACTTTAAATATGATAATTAAGAAAGGATTTTGCTTTTTTTTTTATTAAATTAACAATTATTAAATTATTAAATTAGTTATCTTTTTCATATTTAATTTTAATAAATTCCTTATATTCTTAACTTTTATTTAAAAATTCTAATTACCATTCTATGACTGAATTCAAAATTTTTTAACTTTCAGATTTTATTTAATTTTCAATAAATTCTAAATATCTTTATTTCTTTCATAATAGTAAATTCAAACTAATAATATATTTTCTACAAATATTTGCTTTATTTGCTATAATTAATAAAACAATATTTACAAAATTATAGTAAAAAAGAATCTAATGTTCATAAAATTATATTCCTATAAGATAATATTATTATATATAAGAAATCATTATTTTCTCACTAAAATATCAACAGCATCATAAACATATAATATTAGTAGTAAGTAGTGATAAAGGTTTTTATAATATTAGACATTTATTGACTAGTAATTTAAATAAAAATTTATCCCTACCATTATCATTTAAAGGACATCAAATATAATAAGATAGTAAATCTAGTAATTATATTATTAAAGTTAGATTATATATATATAGTTATAAATTGAGAAATTATAGTTGTAAAACAAATTATAGTAGTGAAAAAAATTATAAAAATAAAATAAATTATAAAATTTATAAAGTTAAAACTTAAAATTATGAAGATAATCAGTTATCTGAAAAAAGATAAACTAATAAAATTCTAATATCAATTGTTGATTTATATCAATCTACAAAATCATAATTACTACTAGTATCACCTTTATCATCTTTACCAAAAAAGAATTTTCGCTTGAGTTTCTAGTATTAAGTAAAAAAGGACCTTGAGTAACAGAAGTAATCTATTAGCTTTCAATTTCTAACCTATAGACTTATTAGCAAGATTAGCTCAGATATTAACTTCAAATAACTAGATCTTAAGATCTTATTAGAATAGATAAGTTGTGAAATAATCTTAAAAATTGTGATTACCTATCATGATTAACTTTGCTAGTTTGTTTTCAACCCTATCTAGTATGGCTCTTTCTCTATACTACAAAACTCATTTTTTTTTTGACAATACAACCTTTAATGAATATAAACTTTCTTAAAATATTCTTGCAATTAACACCATCTTCATTTATAGAATATAAAGAAGAAGAACGTCTATGTACTAAAAAGAATAGAAAGCAAAATATAACAAAAATGATAAATATATAGAGCAAAAAAAAAGGAAAACTGAAATAATAGTAAATTGAATATAATCAGTCAAAATATATTTAAATCATTCATAGAATACAATTTTGAAGAGATGGCTTTAGTTAATGAGATATGCTTATAATACTATTATTAGATAGGATAAAAATCTTAAATACTTAAAGAAATCTTAAATTATATATAGATTTAAATGAAGGAAAAAATTCTAATAAAAAGAAAGACAAAAAATTACAGAGATCATATATATAGAAAAACATAAATTTCTTCAAAACGTTATATAATTAAAATTACATCTCAGAGGTTTACATGATAAAATACCTGCAAATATGATTGATAAGAGTATTAATGAAACTTTGATAGTTAGAAAAAATGTTATGCAAAAAAATTTAAAAGCTACTAAAAAATCATAATTATTATTAAATCTACGAAAGATTTACATTAAATAATAACTATTCATATATAAAATTTTTCAAGAAAGAAATGAATCCATTTTTATGTTAATCATTTTTACAATTCTTTAACTTTATCATCAAAACAAAATTCTTCCAATAAATTAAAAGATGAAAAATATGATTTGTACACATTTTATTTTGAAATAAAAAGAAAGTGTAAAAATTGACCATTATAAAAGATAGATTATGATTATAAATTTACATATATATGAATAGATATTTCATTGGTATATGAAATACAAAAATAGGTCTATGAAATACAAGCAAAAGTTTATACTATTTCAATTAACTCAAGAGTTTGTATTCCATTTAAATAGTATTCCTTAACAAAAGATACAGGTAAAATAGAAGAAGATGATATAGGACGGTATCTTTTGTTTATGTAAATATATAGATAATCTCATATTAAAAAAGATAAACTGGTATTTTTAACCTTAAAACAAAAAAAAAGCATTACATATTGATAATGCTATCTTTTATATGCAAAAAAAAGATCAAATAATTATAGAATGAAATTTATTGAAAATAATCAAGTTCTTAACTGATGAATTTGATGTAATTATTATTCATCCTTTTGAAGTTTCAAATATGGTGAACAGAAAAATATGAAAAATAAGAAGAAAAACTGTTAGAAAGATGCTTTGTTGGTCTCATTATAAGTTTCGATAATGTTTGATTTCAAAAGAGAAAGAGATATGATTATTCAAAATAAAGCTTACACATCAAAGACATGTAGTTGGTGTGGAAATATTCAGAATATTGGAGGGTCAAAAACATATAAATGTAAAGATTGCAATATAAAAATAGATAGAAATATTAATGATGCCCAGGAATATTCCTTCAGCTTTGCTTGATGGAGCCTTTGATTTTATGGAAATGATAGCAATACTTAGTATTTCCTATTATTGATGTATTACAATCCATCCGAATGCAGTGTACAATTTAAATTTCTTAAATAAATTTTATAATATAAATCACATTAAAATTAAGTAATATATATTTATAAATACTTTATAAAGCTTTTTTTAAGAATATAAAGATGAATAATTTCAGTATTTATAAATATAATATTTATGTTAAAACAAAAAGTTATTAATGTAATGATTTATCTTAAAAAACATTATTAATATGCTTAAATTTGACTTTAGTTTAGCAAGTAAACTTGTAAGAAGGAATGATTATTAATTAGTATTATAATAAGAATTTGATGTATAACGACGTAATTTAGAATGATTATTGATGCAAGTAATAAAGCGATATAACCGACAAAACGTGTTAAATCAATATCTAAAAGATATCTTTTAATGTATATTTTACGCCCTGAATTTACACGAAAATCTATCCTATTCTTATTTTAAAAGATATTTGAATTTCTAATTACACTAATACTCTTATAAAGTATCATCTAAATATCTAAGGATATCAAAATTTACAAATCTAGAAATTTGTTTAATATAATTAAAACTAAGATTACATCTAAACGATTGCACATCTTTACGATCTACTGGAGTTGTACGAGTAAAAACGCGAGAAGCAACAAATGTCTCAGTCTATTAATTAGAATTATGGGTTAAGACTTTAGCTAAAGATCTAAAAACAAAATATAACATTAATGATTAAAAATTTTCAAACCTGTTGTAAAAGTAGTATATAAGGGACAACCGATTCTTGATGAATGCTTTGAAATATAGCGAAAATACGTTCCATTTCGCTTGCTTGAGGTCCTGTGAATTGTTCATTGAACTTTTTTTTTTTTTTTTAAAAAAAAAAGTTTAATTAAAAGAATTTATTTTAAATTACATGCACTTATTAAATATAACGAACCTTTAATGCATTAGATACTTTTTTCCTTCCCTTTCGAGTATGTTTGCGTTTTTCATATTCTCTTGAGAAAAGACGTTTATCAAGACTTTGTGGAATATAAGATGCAAGAAATGCAGCAATTAACAAATATAATGACCATGTAGGTATTTGGTTTTCTAGAAAATTCAATAATAATAATTATAAAGTTAATGTTGTTTATATAATTCTATCATAAATTGAACTTATATTAATACCTATTAACGGTGTTATGTTTTGTGAATATAAGTTATCCAATGCAGATTCTAAATGCGGTTTTAATTCGTCGAATAAGAGTGAATAATCATTCATTGATACTATATAGAACCAATTAAAAAAATGTTAATAATGAAATAGTAGTCAAAAGATGAAATCTATTATCACTATCATTTACCTCCTCCCTCATTTATTGGCTGAATAAATTTTTGATAAATATTTGGTATGATGCGGAACAAATCAATAAGATCACAAGAATCCGAAAAAACCTCATATATATAATTGATAAATGTACTA